TTTTTGTTGTTGAAGCTAAACAAAAAGAATTTGCACATTTGTTTGCGGTCTTTTTTTGCTGACTCTTCTTCGATCTGTGCTTTCAGACTCACCCACACATGTCCATCCACATGTTTACATCTGAGGCCAGTTGTTAAAATTTAAGATTGTGTTGTTTTTTGTTGTTTCTCCTATAAAACCACATGTCAGCGTCATTTTAATGAGTCGGTAAGCTTCCTGCAGCACCTGCCCCTATTTATGAGCGCGACGGCTGCACAGGCTGAAAAAAGTCCGCAGTTTTAAGCATCGTAGGAACATTAGAGGAATGATTCTATGAGATAAAGTTTAATATATATATTAAATATATAGGTATATAGGTTTTGATCCCTGTAAAACTGGCTGATAACAGTGAAATTATTGGCCTGTCATTTAATTCTGAGTGGATGTACAGAATATGTAAATATACATACAGGAATTTGCTCCAAGTGTCCTGGACTCGTGTCAGGTCCTGCTCTTTCTCCCCATCCTTATCAAAAAATGTCAAAAACAAAAAAACATCAGGGTCCAGTAACTCTGTGGCTCTGCATTTAGCTTTTACTTATTAAGGACCGTTTGAACGAGGCGTGAGCGAGGTGCTGGTGCCAGTTATCCAGCTGGATCTGTGCAGAGTAGCTGTTGTCAGTTTGGCAGCGTGTTCCTTCAATGGGACGATGAAACTCTGATTATCAGTCCGTCACATATACAATCATGCTTATAATCTGTGTTGAATATTAAAGTCTGGGTTTTCAACTTTTCTGTACTGATAATGATTAGTGCTGTGAGCGTTAATCTCATTAAAATGACGTTAACGTCATACCTAACGCGGCAAATCTCCGTTAGCGAGTTAGTGCGGCTCGCCCTGTGCGTGGGGCTGGACAGCACTAACCCGTTAGCGTTAACTCGCTAACAGAGATTTGCCGCTTCATTAACTTAACTCACAGCACTAATAATAACTCAACTGGGCTGCAGTTATGATTTTCATGACTAATCTCACCGTGTAACCAATGAGCTGCTGGCTCGGCCCAAGAAAATGGAGAGCAGCTTAAAAAAAGAAGCACAAATGGGTATCGCTAATTAATCTTGTTGATTGAATTCCTGTGGTTGACCTGGACGTGCTGCAGCTGAAACGATCCCGTTCAGCAGCCTGTTCTTCAGGCCTTTGTAACTTCTTTCAGCTTCCAGCAGAGTGTGTGACATAAATGCATGCTGATTGGTCAGGTGGCAAAATAATGTGCTGGGGTCACCTTTCCCACCTTTTAAACTCCTTTGTTGTCGTGAACACACACAACCTTCCTGATCGTCGGCTGCCTGATCACACAAACACACAAAGAGAAGCTTTGGGAGCTTCTCGTTGTGCGATTAGCCTCGCTGAGGACTCCTTGGTCCACTGCTAACGAACAGGCGCATCTTCAGATCATGGAGACATTTCCAGTTTGTAAAACTTATTTTCATTTTGAGACTTTCCTACCAACCATGTTTAACACACAGACCTGATTGTAACCTCACATACGGAGGAAAACATGGAGCTGGGAAGTTTGGATAAAATGCTTTTGGAGGATGTCGAGGGTCAGAGTAGCTGGACTTGTGTAGCAGTGTTGAAGTGGACTGAAGCAGTTTGGCTGTGGTAGCTGCAGTTTCTCTGTCGCCTACGTTCTCTGAGGGGTCCGTGTTTCATGCAGGTGCTTACTCCCATTAGCTTTCCTGTTTGCCGTCTTCCCTGACTCGGTCAGACTCACTAATTGTATTTCACAGGAAACTTTTTCGCTTATTTCTTCCAATGGTTTGTTTCTGATAACTGTGATGCAGTAGAGCACTACAGACGCAGTCACTCAGCTGCTGGGACTCTTGAGCACCGTCCATCGAGCGTATGCTGTCCTTGAACAGGCTTCCTGAGAGATTCAAAGAACAGCACAGTTTAACGAGAGAGTGGATTCTTTTACAGTCGTGTAACGCAGGCCAAATTTACCTTTCACACTCTTTTCCTCATAGTTTGAATCAAAGATGCCAACTGAATCAATCTCATCCATCGGACACATGAATTATAGATAATGCTCTTATTTTGAAATTAAAGAACCTTAAGAACTTTTCTGTTTGTTTTTATTTTTTTAATAAACTTCCATAATTGACTTTTCTGAGCTGTGGGGCTTAGTGTTGGTGAGCTGTTAGTCCGCTGATGCACGGCAGTGTTCTTGCTTCCTTTGTGCTTCACACTTACACAGACCTGGATTTGTCATCACCCGCTCGTTTCTTTTGTTGCTCCAAAAAGTGTTTTAAAATATGAACAAATCAAATTCATTCCTAAAATGAGAGTAGTGAGTAAAATTATAGCACACTCGCCCATAAAGGTCCCGACCTCCAAACAGCGTGATGATAACATGAGCTGCATGTAACTGCTTCCATTGACTTCCTGCTGCTATGACGATGTCAGTAAACAGTAATATTTCCTGCCTCGGAGGATACCACACTACATCTGTGCACTACATGTGTTGATGGAGTGATACACTCTAACAGGAAGCTTCACTTGCAACACTGTTACAGCTTTGTAACTGTTAACATAGCATAGTTTTCTGGTTGCCTGGCAACCATAATGGTAGGACACTTCAAGGTGCAGTAAATGAATAATATTAATCTGAGCACAGCTTCTGTACAACCATAATAAGTGTTTGCCCACAGGAACACAGCCACTGCACCACCACAGAGAGGAGTTTGGACATGTATTGATGTTTTTGGGTGGTGTCAGGACACCAGCTGAGCCCCTAACTCAGCCTCACCAGTATACACCTGGGACGAGCTATGTTGTCATGGAGGAGGACGTGTCCATAAAGGCCAGAGGTTTCAGTGCTGTAGAGATGAACGATGGCGAGTGTGTGGAGACTCCAAACAACCACATTTTATTGGCAGTTCTTCGTTGACTTGGTGCTTCAGGCCTGAAGTTGATGTTTGGTTTTACAGATTAAACAAAAGAGACAAAGATTTCGTCTTTGAGCATTCGGACAGACCGGCCCAGCTGCTGCTTCCCTCCACACTTTGTGTCAGCTGTTCTTATACGATGTATGGTTTGTAACAAATGGCCTACTGTGTGTGTGGTCACGTTAATGACTAACAGAGGTGATGCTTCAGCTTCTGACATCAACACACCACCTACAGGTCTCCATGTGGAATTTGTATCCAGTTATTTCAGCCAAGACTCCTCACTGTTCATCTTTTATTCCTTCTATGGACCCTTCCCAGGATGCAGATGCTCTGTTCTATGTTCACGTGGGACTAACCTCAGACAGGTAGCAGGGATCAGCAGCAGTGGCCTAAACTGAGGAAGTGTAACAGTTTACACTAATAACTCTTTTTGTGTGCTAATCTGTGTCGGACGAGGAGAAATGTGAAGAAGTAAGAAAATGATGACATTTTGATAACATGCAGGGCTCCCCACACTGGCTGTAGCATTAGTTTTGTGTTCAAGACTAATTCAAAGCACCTTTGTAAGAACACACAATGCCAAATACGACTTTTCTTTGTCTTTCTTTGGTGGGACTCAGGAGTTTTAAAGCTGGTACTCTGGATTACAGTGAATGTGTAGAAAGCCTTGTAGTATTGCATTGTATGTACTGTATATAATGAATAAAGATTGTATTTTGTTCAAGTTTTCCTAACTGCCATCTTTGTGTGGTTCATTTCAAAGGAAAGTCTCCAAAGTGGGAAAAAACGCTTTATTTTCAAACCTGAACAGAATAACAGTCGAGACCATCCATGCTGTACAGCTTCCAGTGTGTCAGACCCCTGCTGTTTGCCTTCTGCAGCAAACAAACCATAAATACACAAAATCCTGGTACAGTAACGTACGTGAAAAACTATACACAACTATGATAACAGTGGCAGACGCACACAATCACAGCAGTCACACAAACATACTGGCTGGACTGGAGAGCCCAGTGTGATTGAGTCACTTGTACATAATATAGGTTGAAGTGAAAGTAAATATATATTAATGGAAATTATCGGACTGATGAGAGTTTCAAAATAAAAGTGTTAAACTGGGGTTCTGCTGTGAGGGTTTAGCCCGACTCCGTCCAGCCTCACAAACAAAGAGCGTGCAGCTATTTACAGCTCAGCTGACTGAGACGGGCGCACATCTGCTTACTAATAACGCAGCTAACAGCGTGTAAAAGGTTCTTTACGTGTAGTTAAAAAGTAGTTTGGCATGATTGTTTTTATTGGACAACAACCACACTTGACATGGTAGAGTCCAGCATGAGCAGGTCACCATGAAGAGTGAAATTAGATTTCAGGGTAACAACTTAAAACTCACTAACATAAAAAGATGAAACAACTTCATGGCTCTCCTGTGCAAACCCGAATACAGGATTTCAGATGAACAGAAATGATGGCTGTTTGCATCAGAATGACTTTAAAGGACAAGAATTTGTCGTCTCTGGGTTTCCATACACGACAGAGTCAATATGAGGCACTTTGGGTTCAAACCGGTCCTTTGTCCGCCCAGTACAAGCAGCATCTCTGTGGCATGTCTTCTGTAGGGTTAGTGCACAGCCTCTATCTTTAAATCACTGGGGGCTTTAAAGCGCCCCCTGATCACATTTCTATGTTAGTAACTCTAGAATGGTCAACGCAGATGATGTTCCTCAAGAGCGAATGCAGAGTGATTGGTTTGTTATTGCCGCTCCTTCGTCAGATGCAAGAAAACACTCAAAAACACGTCACAGTGTGCGACCTCTTTGTTAGTACAACAACGAACAGAAATATGTGTAAAAACCAAAATGAAAAGTTGTGCTCGACAGGAAGTCACACGTATGGAAAAGTGCAGCATAAACACGACAGTGGTTGATGTTTCATGAAGTTTACAGTTCGCTACATCGAACCGAGCAGCTTCTACACGCCACGCCGTCACCTGCTCTGGAGGAAGTGTTGCCTGGCTACAAGGGCATGAGAGACAAGAGTTTAAGATGCGTGGGTATAGTTCGATTTGTTGTGGCGTTGTGACCTGCCTGTGACCCGCCCCTCTCCCACCCGTCCTTACAGGTGGGTGTCCTCCTCTTCGGGGTGGTCCTCTTTCGACAGGTGGTCCAAAGGTACCATCCAGCTGTCGTTGAACTCTCCGTTCAACACCATCTTCTTCTCCAGCATCTCCGGCTGCACTTCCATCACTTCCAGCGTGGGGTTGTCGTGGTAACCGTTTTCCACAGTGTGCAGCTCTTCTGTTAGGTGTTGCTGTGGAGATTGAGACATGCCCACTGTTACTTCCTGTTACACAGACCCAGTCTTAAAATTCATAAACTGCCATCATGATGAATCTGAGTGGAATCGAACTGCGCTCACACGTCTGTTGTTTAACTTCTAAACAAAGTCCACAAATCTATCTGTGGATGAATCAGGGATTCAGGCTACCACAGCTTTACATGAATGCACTGCACGATACCACACTTTCCTTTTGGAAAAGTATTTGGGCACAGAAGGAATTTTGGCTAGAAGAAGAGGCCTGAATCAAAACAGAGAAAAAGGAGACCTTTGCTCCTGCCCAGTCACCACACGGTCACATGTCCTAGAAAGTTTGCTAAAAGTTTTCTCCACAGAATATTCAGACCAATTAAACACCGAGTTTTGATCCTGACACAGTTCTGAGAGTGTCAGGCCCCCC